CGCCCGAGAACGCTGCTTTACCGGACTGTGTCCTGGAAGGACCTTTTGTAGATAAAAGTGAAGAAAACTCCCCGAAGCCAGCTCCCACCATCAGCTTCTCCCTGGGGAAGAACGCCTCCACCTCCCCAACACCGTGTGGGGCATCCAAAGTCAGCGTGTCCTTCTCGTTTGCCAAGAAGGCTCCGGTGAAGCTGGACACGGTCGCTGCGGTGTTTGCCGATCACGGAGAGGAAGCCGTGGAGGAAGAGGAGGGCCAGGAGGGGGAAAGGGCTGCGGGGCAAGAGGAGACATCCGGCAGCAGCACAAACAGCCCGAAGGACGGATCGGGGGGAGGCGACGGAGGAGAGAGCGCCGTTGTTGTGGCGGAGGCGGAAGAGGCGGAGCAGCCTGATGACGGAGCTTCTTTAGCCTCCACCCTCAATAAGCTGAAGATGATGATGAAAAAAGAGGAGGGCTACGCTGGACAGGAGCCCGAGTACTATCACTACATACCTCCGGCCCACTGCCGGGTGAAGCCTCACTTCCAGTTTCTGCTCTTCATGAGAGCCACCGATCAGTGTCCGAGCAAGGAAGAGGAAGACGAGGAGGACGGGCAGGAGGAGGACAAGGAGGAGGCCGAGGACGATGAGGAGGAGGAGGAGGAGGACGAGGAGAAGAAGGCTAAAGACAGTCCCGGAACAACGGAGCCCGACGGCACAGAGTGCAGAACTGAGAAAGAACCAGATAACATCACTTCACAGCAGGAGCCACCTCCTCCCTCGGCCGAAGCAGAGACGGAGGACGACCCTTCGCTGGACGCAGAAACGGCCCCCGTGGCTCCCACGTCCCCTCCTCGAAAAGCAGAGAGCACACCGGATTCCACTCTGGATTCAAACTCGGGTCCCAAAATCCCCACAGGTCCCTTCTTCCCAGTTCTGAGTAAAGATGAGAGCACAACCCTGCAGTGGCCCTCTGAGCTCCTCGAATTCACAAAAGCCCAGCCGTCCCTGTCCTACAGCTGTAATCCCCTCTACTTTGACTTCAAGCTGTCCCGCAACAAAGGAGGTCGTGGTGGGAAAGCGGCGAAGTCCTCACAGCCTGGTGAAGAGCCTAATGACAAAGGCAAAGCGCTGGCCGAAGAAGATAAGACTAATAAACCCGGGACCAGCACCGACAAAGACAAGGCGGTGATGGCGGGAGAGGCCGGCCGAGCGGAGGGGGAGGAGCAAAAGCCTGCGACCGGCAGCGGCAGCAGCGCCAAGAAGAAAAAGAAGAAGAAGAAGAAGCATAAGAAGTCCGCAAAGCGCTCCAAGCGCAAAGGAAAAGACAAGGCAGCAGACGAAGACGTGGAGGGCGAGACGGAGGCGACTCAAGAGAAACCCAAGAAGAAGAAAAAACACAAACGGAAGAAGAGCAAAAACAAGGCTGCGGATCAGGACGAAGCAGCAGGGGACGAAAAGGAGAAACCAAAGTCAGAGGAAAAGGCCGTCGCCTCCTCGGTTACCGTGACAGGGGGCGGGGCTACGGGGAACGCGGGCGTAGAGTCGGGGAAGAGGAAACGTGCTACGAAGGAAGTGCCTTGCAAGTCTGGAGCAGAGGAAGGCGGCGGCGGAAAAGGCGGCGGAAAAGGCGGCGACAAGGCGAACGTCTCAGAGGAGCACGGCGGCGCCAAGCGACAGAAGACCGACTCCAGCGCGCCTCAAAGTGCCTCCTGCTCCACCTCGGCCCAAAAGAGCCCCGGTCCCGCTCGGCCCCCCAGCAGCGAGAGCGAAGAAGAAGGCGGCTCCAACGCCCACCGCTCACGCCATCACCGGTCAAGTCCTCGGGAACAACACCAACACCAACACCAACAACAACAGCAGCAGCAGCAGCAGCAGCAACAACGGCGCCACCACAGCGAGGAGTCCCGGCGGTCCTGCAGCCGGTCCTCGAGGCGGGGCGAGAGGCGGGGCAGCAGTCGCCGGCGCCATCGCGGCCAGACGTCCCGCAGCCACTCGTACTCCAGCAGCTCGGAGCGCTCCTCGGCGGGCAGCAGCGCCTACAGCCGCCGCAGCCGCAGCTACTCGGACAGCTACAGCGACTACAGCAAAGAGGGCCGCCGGCGGAGGCGCTCCAAGCGCTCCTCGGACTCCGAGTACGAGCGGCGGGGGAGCCGGGGCCGGAGGCGGTCCCGGAGACATCAGTCCTCCTCGTCTTCCTCGGAGGAGTCCCGCTCACGTTCGCGCAGCTACAGCCGCAGGAAGAGGCACCGCCGGCACCACCGGAGCAGCTCGAGAAGCTCCAGCAGCTGGAGCCGCAGCACCAGCGCCAGATCCTGGAGGCGGAGCTACAGCCGCAGCCACAGCTCCGCCAGCCGCTCCTCCAGCTCCACCAAAGGCTCCTCCCGCCGGCGGGCCCCTCGGGCTCGGGTGGAGACCGACGCGCAGCGCAGAGACTTCAACCGCTCGTGCATCTACCGCTCCCAGTCTCCACGTTCGTCTTCATCGCGAGGCCCCAACCGCAACGCCCATTCCTCCGGCTCGCAGTCGGTGAGGTCCGGGGTGTCGCGGGACGCAGGCGACCAGAAGAACAGCCTCACGGCACGCCAGCTGCTGGAGAAGGTCCAGTCCAAGAAAAGCTCTGATGATTCCACCACGGGCACCAAATCTGGGCTTAAGATCAAGGACCCACCACAGGGATACTTTGGTCCCAAACTGCCGCCGGCCCTCGGCAGCAAAGCCATGCTGCCGCTGTTTGGTAAGCTGCAGGCCGGCAAGAAGCTCATGATCCCTCTGACCCGACCGGACGAGGGAGAGAAGTCCGGAGCCGGCAAGTGCTCGGAGCCGGAGGTCATCCTGGTAGAGCCGATCCGAGAGTTCCCCCCTCCGCCGCCGCCTCCGGCTCCACCGGTCCAGAAGGTCGAGGAGGCCCCACAGATCATAGCGGTGCAAGAGGAGGCGCCGCATCCCGCCGCCGAAGCCCAGCTGCACCAAGAACCGGGGCCGATGTATGAACAGGACCCGTCCATGGCGATGGCCCAGTACCAAGGAGAATCGGTACAGGACCCCTGTCAAAATCCCATGATGGACCCCCTCATGACGGAAATGCAGCAGCAGCAGCAGCATCAGCAGCAAATGCACGTGTACCCGGCCTACCCGCCGCCCACCCTGGAGGAGGAATGCATGGAGGCGGAGGAGGATGGCCTGGCTCCTCTGGAGAGTCAGCCCATCACCTTCACGCCGGAGGAGATGGAGAAGTACGGCAAGCTGCAACAGGCCGCGCAGCAGCACATCCAGCAGCAGCTGATGGCCAAGCAGGTCAAGACGTTCCCCTCGGCCGCTGCAGCCGCGGCGGCGGCGGCGGCAGCCAACATGGCGGCCAACATGGCGCCGGCTCAGCCTCCCCAGGCCATGCAGCAGATCCACATCCAGCAGCCCACCGTGTCCATGGCCTCCGGCACGTCGATCACCACGGTGCAGCACGCCATCCTGCAGCACCACGCCGCCACCGCCGCGGCCATGGGGCTCCACCCGGCGCACGCCCACCACCCGCACCCTGCGCACCAGTTGGCCCAGGTACACCACATTCCTCAGCACCACCTCACCCCCATCTCTCTGTCCCCCCTGGGCCACTCCCTGAGTCACTCCCTGGGACACTCGCTCGGACACTCGTTGGGACACTCGCTGGGACACGCGGGGCTGATTCCCGCCCACCACACGGCCTTCCTCTCCGGTCAGCCCATACACATCATCCCGGCGTCTGCGCTCCACCACACCCCCCTGGCGCTCCACCACTTACCACACCACCTCTACCCGACGCTGTTCGCGCAGCGGCCCTCGCAGGCTGCGGCGGCGGCGGCCCTCCAGCTCCACCCACTGCTGCACCCAATCTTCTCAGGGCAGGACCTGCAGCACCCACCCAACCACGGCTCTTGAGAAAACGACACGAGTGAAGGAGTCGAGTCACAGCACCCAACCGCCGGGAGACGGGCTGGAGCTGGACCGTCTGGGTTCAGAACTTTGAGGAGAAGTCTCGAGGCGGGAAGCTGTCGATGAACTACCCGTTCACCGCCGCGCGCCGAGCAGAGGGTGGAGCCACAAAGCGGTGCCGGCTGCGTTGGACTTTTTCTTTTGGCTCGTGAGAATTTTTTCTTTTTCAGGGTTTTGCCCCAAATTTCTAAACGGAGGGGTAGATCTAAAAAGACGTTAGTTTCTATTCCAGCTGAAGGTGTATAAACACCCGTTTGTGTTTCAATGAGAAACCACTGGAGTTTGAGTTTGTTTTTGGCAGCCGAAGAGACTTGTGGCTGAAGCCGAATCATGTTGAGAGGCGGAGGACGTGAAGGCGAACAGCTCCGACTCTGTGACCCACTTATACTTACTGATATTGTTTGTTTTCATATGACTACTTGCTCTCTACTGGCTCCTTGGTCTCTAATAATTTGTAATGCAGTAACTTGTACATATATCAGTGTGTAATGTGAAGAATCCCACCAATGATGAGCATTTGAAAGGACAGCTGCGGCGTCCTGACCGGTGTGACGTGGTGAAGCTGCACCTGAATAAATTGCACTGAAAATCTGTACATCAAGGTGGTGCGTTTGCATCATGTAACAATAAGATTGTAGTATACTGCAATAATTGTATTTTTCTGTTTTTAAATTATTTTCCCAAATGCTCTTCAAAAGAAGAGCAGTGTTTTTTGCTTTTGTGTAATTTTGTAAATAAAACTGCTGTAGATGAACCTATTAACATTCTAGAGGTTTTGGTAAAACGCGATGGAAGAAGGTTGAGTGTGAGTATTTTATCACGTTTGTTTATACATCGGCCTGCGATGGCAAAGGATGGTGATCTGTCGAACAGTAGCAACTCTGTATTTTTTAAGAACTTACTGTTTCAGAAAATAAAATCTTGAGTTCACATGTGTTCTTCTATGTCGGGTAAGATGATCATATAACAACGGAGCGGTCAGGGACTAGATTAACCTGTAGATGGCGCTCTAGTTAGCACAAACATTGTTCATTTGATGAAGTTATACAGAGGGAAGGAAACATGTTTTATTCTATTTAGAGAATCACGTCATTCACAAACCAGGAGAAATGATTTAACTATTACAATCGACTGCTGCTTCATTCACTTTCTGATCAGGTCCTTGAACGTGAAGCAGAAAAACAGACTAAGGACAATTCTCTGTTGACAAGAAACACGAAGCATTTTGAGTCTTTATGAACCAACAAGGCAGAATGAAGAAGATCCAGACGGCTCGTAACTGGAGGAGAAAGTTCAGTTGACAGATTCTGTGACGTGAGGAAAGCAGCAGACATCAAAGTACAACAGCTCTACTGGAGCTTCAAGTGGAATAAAATTAAATACTGACTTATTAAGGTCTTCCTCAACCTTTAGCATTTTACAAAAAGGTGCCCAAAATAATTTAAATGGTGGAAAACCGATTTGTTTAAAAAAAAAAAAAAAATCCCATTGTGCCACTTTTCACGCGCCGCTGATGGTCAGCCGAGGTATCTGATGACCAGGAACAAGCAGACGCAGGTGAGCAGCATGCCCCCGATCATGATCAGCTTGTCCTGGGTGGCCCGCTTTTCTATCAGTCGCATCACCGTGTTGGACAGCCCCAGCATGTTGGCCACGTCCAGCATCTTCTTATGGGTCCCCTGTGCACGGAACCAGAGCCAAGAGTCAGACTCACGGGGGGGGGGCGGCACAATGACGGCTCTGGAAAAGCATTACGTGAGCGCGCCGCAGTGGTCTCTGCTCGTTAGTCGAGACGCCCGCCGCCGGGCGGTTCTCACGGCTAGACGGGCCGCTCCGCGCGGACGCGCCCTGATAAGGGGAGCGAAAAGCAGGAAGACTATCTCCTCCCTGGAAACGAGGACTCACCCAACAATGGGACTATTGTGATCGATGTCAACACCCGAAGAATCGGGTCAAGGGAGGAAGAGCTCGACCCGGAGCCGCCCGGGGAAAGTACCTTTCTATTAGAGATGTCATCTGAATGAGACACTTATAATCTCTGGAATCATGCTTCTGTACAATTGTGGCACTTGTAAGTTGTAGATGAATTTGACTGCTGTCTTCATAGTTTAAATATAGATCACAGTAAGTGGGGGAAATGTGATATTCTTGACGGCCTTACCTTTTATAGTGGTCTAGAAACAGTAACCTTGGGGTTTTTGATGTGTTAAATCGTGCGCACACACCTTCAGGGTCGATCTCTGATCCCTGAGACCGTTGAGGATTCCACTGCCGCTGCCCAGAAGGTCGTCCATGCCTCGGTGTGCGTTCTCCAGCTTGGAGTTAAACTGTAGGGTCTCGTCTATGGGGATGGAGGTGTCTGCGTCCTATCGGGCCGCAACAAACATTTTTGGCTTTATTTCACGTTCCGCTTGAGTCATCAGCACGTTATCCTGATGTCAGCCAATCAAAGTTCACAGAGCACCATCGCGTCCGCACCTACCCTCTTTTTATCAGAAGACTTGGACCTCTGAGTGTAGCAACACCAGGCGCTTCACCTCACACCCCGTTTAAAAACCAAAAGGTGGACTCACGTTGGTCGTGAACGTCCGGCTCATGAGTTCCTCCCTCTCTCGGTCCTGCGCCTCTCTGGCGTAGCGCCGATGCTGGAAGTTCTGCAGAGCGGTCCGAAGGTGTTGGACGTCATACTTAAGCTGGTCCACTCGCCTGAGGGAAGCCAGAGAAACCTTTAACGCGACGTGAAGAATCCTCCACGTATTTTATGAAAACGCATCATTGAACCACGTCACGCGCGTAATCTTAACAATTTCTTCCCCGTCAGACCTCATGCGGTTGGAATGAAGAGTCTGTCACAGTTTGTCCAGTGGGGCAGGAATGCTGCCAATGACGTGGATGCTGACGTAAATGTCTTCGCGTCGCCACGGAGACGGGTCTCGTCTGCTCAACCCCACCCTCCGTGTTCACCAGATAGCTATCTGGTCGACTGAATGCCCCAAACTCACAATTTGGCGTTCTGGCGGCGGTTTGGTGGCTCCTTGCTGGCCAGGATCTCGAGGCGCTCTAACTGGTTGAAGATCTGGTCGGTTCTCGCCTGCAGCTCGTTCTCCAACACTTGAAGAATGAGAGAAGAACGAAAACAGGGGAGAATTAGTTTGGGACGATTACAGGAATGTCATATATTTGTTTGATTCCAATGCCTCCCTCTTATTAGTTAAAACCACTGTTGATGTCATCAAGTAGGAAGGGGGGGGGATCAGGGTCGCCTACAGCCCGGCTCCCACCGTTATCTAGAAGAAACCCTCCCAGTTTGTGTCACTGCACCCTGCCCTGCTCCTTCCTGTGCCGGCACTCTGGACTGATTGAGGAGGGCGACACCACCTCCTCTCCTGTCACTACCTCAGGGACGCAGCCATGACAACGAGTCCGTGCTGGACATCCACCCAGAGACCAGGGCCCCACTCACAGTGTACTGACTGCCGGTCCGTCTTCTCCAGAGCTCCCATGCACGACTGAACCTCCTGGATTTGCCTAATCCAGGATAAAAATATATATACAATTAGTGGATTGAGATACAACAGATGTTGCCAAAACACAACCTGATAGAAATGTAAGAATGTAAACAATCTGACGTGTGGTGAGTTTGATGATCAATTAATCAATCAGTGTAGCTCGCCCACAGTTGACTTCCAATGCGAAGTTGATTCAGCGCTAATTAGCTCGCTAGCTAGCTGGTCATCTGCGGCCGTTTCATCCGCGATGGACGCACACTCACTTGTTCGTCTGGTGGTAAAGCGTCTCCATCTTCCGTGATGAGTTGAATCGCGCCCCCGCCGCGCTGGACCCCTTTCGCGCTGGCCCGTTATTTCTTACGCCGTCACTCTCACGGGTGGCTAAGCTAGCTGGCTAGCCAGCTAACGGTAGTGGACTGTACACGTCATCGGTAGAGCGCTTGTGTACGGAAATGGGGAAGCGGAAGTGATGCTACGTCACCGAGAGAGATGCAGAGAGCGCGTGCAGAGGAAGAGCGCTCACTCCGCCGCGATTGTCAGACACTGAAAGTGTAAAATCGCTCGAGGCCGTAATTTATCTCTTACTAAAGAGTAAGAGAGGAGACAAAGGTGTTGTAACCCGTCTTTCGTACCGGAGTTAGTTCCCCTTTTTTGACTGCAGGCGCGGACACGTGTTGTTTTTTTAAATAAACAACCGTCTACTGGTTGAAATTTTTTTTTTTTTTTAGCACTTTATGAAAGTACCTTCTTTGTTTAATGAAGCGCTGTGATGTTCCAGGAAGGTGAAGCAGTGACACTGACTCCAGGCTCACTCCATCGTGCACAAGTCAACATTTCTTGTCCTTGTTCAATTGATGGGAAACTTCCCAAATTTAAATCCACGCTGCAGGCTGTATCTTACATTCGATATTGTTTAATGCGTTGCTGACAGGTGTGATAGTGGAGATCAACCCCCCAACCCGAGACAAACGCTAAGAGCACAGAGCATAATCTGTTGACATGTAGACAAGTGACAGGAAAGACTGTGAGACATGTCCTCGGGACTCTTGTCAGCTCAGCCTGATTCAGTCTAATGACGCTATCCTCTTTTTTCCACAGATGGGTATCAGAATATTCACGCTCGTCCGCCTGGCGGCTTCCTTCTTGCCCGCGGTCGGAGTCACCAAAACAAATGATGTCTGAGGTGTGTTTGCGAAAAAGTGCCGTGATTGGATTTCCCAGAACGAGCTTCGAGAATTTCACAATAGTTTCCCGGTGATTAAGTGGGAAGAAAAGCATCCCTTGGGGGGAGTGGGGGGAGGGGGCTCCGCCTTGGCGTCGTCACAAAAACCACATCTCAATCACCCCTTCCTCCAGATCCTCCACCAGCTCGCCGTGGTAAACCCGGAGAGCGGGCGACGCCGGTCCGAGCCCCCTTTGACCCCCCTCACTGCGGCGAGCTCCCGGGGGGGGGGGCGGTGATGTCAGGCCCAGCAGACGGTTCCTCCGCGGCTCCCTGACGTGTGATGGTTGTGTCTTCAGGCTAGACGCACTTCTCAACAGAGGTCCTCTTCACCCCCCCCCCCCCCCTCTCTCCCCCCCCCACATGTCAGAAACCTTGAGGCCTGTTCGTGCCACTTCTTGCTCTCGCAGTTCACCGTTCTTCGGTTGTCATAACACGTCCCCGGGGGGCAGTGGCTGGATGTGCGCCGCTGAGAGTAGAGACGTGGAGCGGAGGGAAGAAGGCAAGAGACGAGGCCCCCCTGCCCCCCCGCCCCCCCCTTCCAAACGGCACGCGGGGCACATTCGCCTCCCTCTCAAGGTCGCAGGGTTCTCTCTGTCTGTCCTTTATCTTTCAGCCCCGAGGAGGGGATGAGATGAGCTTACTGGCGCTCCTCCACACCTGATCACCACGGGCACAAACCGGAATCCGCTCTCCAGGTGCGCGGCGGGATCACGCCACCCCGACGGGGGCCCACGGACCCCGCGTGGTTACACACAGTGTGTCACTACCGCCGGTCAAACCTTAGGAGACACACGTCTGTCCAGCTGTTGGCCGCTCCTTAGTTATCAGTGTCTCAAGATTAGACATTTTATTTTCTTTATGGACTTTTAAATTTTCTTTTGTTACAGATCCAGTATTGCCAGATTTGTTTGGGGAGTTTGTCTTGAATAAGAAATCTACGGTGGTGATGTAGACTAGGTATAAGGAGACAAAAAAAGGCAAAATGGCCCCATCATATAAATGTAGTGGAATTGGAGTAAATGTCCATAAAATGGTACTTAAGTGCTTTACATGGCCGACATCCCACCATCTGTGCTAATATCTGACACACAAAGTGTCTCGTCCTTATGTTCTACCTTTAGATGCATTTGAACGTGGGGTCCAGATGCAGAATGTTCAGGTATTGGGAGGATTTTACAGCTCTGCTGGCTGCCTCTCTGGATCGTGGAGGAATGCCGTTTCCTGGTGCACGGCTCCCTTCGGGGCTTCAGCTGGAACGGACCCGAGCGCTCGGCCCGTCCGGGGCGAGACAACGCGCCAGCAGAGTTGTTGTCTCCGTGGGTTTTCCCCTTCAATTACACCGTTTAGTTCATCAGGAGAAAATGACACGTTATTGAATCACTTAATGGTGTTTTCCAGGCAATATAATACATCATAACTCTCCAATGATTGCCCAAGACAGGCGGAGTGAAGAAGCCAATTATGAGGAGCACAAACCGCCTTGGGTCAACAATCTTTGGATGCCAGTCATTTTTTGAAGGCACACAGATCTTCTCACCCCCCCCCGAGGGAGACGATCCACTCGTCTTTGAAGCCGTGATGAGACGCTGAATGAAAGCAAATGAGGGCCTGTCAGAGATGACAGGAGGAACTGGTGAGGTCCCAGTGTCTCAGGGGGTTCTGGTGGGAAAGGGGTCCGGAGGCGGGTCCAGACCGGTGGTACAGCCCCCCTCAACCCCTTCCCTCCATCACCCCCCCCCAGAGTAAGTAAGTAAGGGGAGGGGCAAAAACTTTCTGCAAAGGGGTGCAAAACAATCCCCAAAAGAAGCATAAGAATATAAAAACAACCCCAAAGATGCCAAATTGGAAAAAGGGAAAGCGGTATGACGACGAGGAGACTACAAAGAAACACAAAACAGCTTAGAGATGTAAAATAAGTGCAAAATGACTCCAAAAGGGATGCAAATCAACCACAAAAGTTGATGCAGGACAACTACAAAGACACACGAAACAACCCTCAAGAGAAGTCAAGACTCGCATAGTGACTACAAGAAGATGCATAGGAGCTGTAAAGACAATCAAAGCGACACAAAACAGCCACGGGAGATTCAAGACAACCCGAAGCGATGCACAACTACAAAGACCCAGAGATGCAAAGAAACCAAAAAGGGAAACAAAGCAACCGAGAAGAGATGCAAAATAACTACAGAATGATGCAAAACAACTTCATAGAGACACAAAACGACGACTGAAGTTGTGTTGGCTTGATCCTACACACATTTCAGGGGGGGGCCTCTTCCATGTCGGCGTCCAGGGGCCTTCGGTTGTCTCACTGTCCGTCCGTGGTTTATAGTAGTTATTCACTGCTGTTCTTTCATGTTAGAATATTCTAACATATTAGGAACATATTGTTGCTTTTCAGTGAGAGGGCCTCTCCCATCGAGAGAAGGCCTCGTCGTTCCCCTCCCTCGCTCGCTCTTCCTCCCAGCTTTATTTAGTCTGACCTCAAAGTGCTCAGAGCGATCGTACAGCTGTCAGACACACACACACACACACACACACACACGCAGCCCTGTGGCCGTACCACCTGAGGCTCCCGGACCTGTGGGGGTGAGAGGTGCCATGCGGCCCTGCGGTTGGATGACGGGCCCCCGGTGGCGCGCAGCCTCCCGCCCACGCGGCCCCCGATACCGCGTGTTGCGCGTGAACCCCTTTCTGATGACGCCGGGGATTTAATGAGTCGGATCGCTCCGACACTCGGAGGGAAATGACCGTGCGGCTGCAGATGAATAAATAATCACACACAACATTCTTCCTGGGGATGTTGCTGGTTGAGAGAACACGCAGCTCTTCCCTTTATCGCTGTTTTCCCTCCGTCGTGTATTGTTGATTTGGGAAAGTTTTGTTTCGGTTGTAATGGAGGTCAGTGTGTGTGTGTGTGTGTGTGTGTGTGTGTGTGTGTGTGTACCATACATTGAGCACAGGGAGGCAGTTGTGATGGTGCACGAGGTCTTATCGTGTCCGCGTCCTATCACAGCGGCTGCAATGTAAACCCTGCTGGTGGGGCCGCAGGTGTTTCTGTGGAGCGCCATGGGAACAGCCTCCCCCAGGAGTTTCCCAGTGTGTGTGTGTGTGTGTGTGTGTTTGTGTGTGTGTGGGGGGGGGGGGGTCCACAATGGAGTGGTAAGGGGAATACCAGCACACACATTTGCAGGGGCCTCTTTGCTGGGCGAAGCCCTCGTGCTTGTCTTCAGCTGCTCCCCTCCAGCAGCATGTTTCAGGTATTTTCAGGTTTGGTGTCCAGTAGACGATGTGTCAAAGACAAAATGAAGTGTGCATTATAGCCCCCCCCCCCCCTCCCCGCCCCCCACCCAGATGGTGTGAGAGTAATTCTGACATGGTGCCCGTTTAACTGCAGGCCTCCGTCTCTCCAGGTCGAGCACTGAGAAGGTCTTTTCTCTCTAAGGACACGTGTTTACACCCTCCCCGCACCGGGGCGTCCCGTCGGCCGCCGTGTTAGCCCCCCCATGCAGGATGCAGGTATGCACTCAGGCCTGTCGTGGCTCTAGGCGGTGTGTGTTCTTGTTGTGGGTTGAGCAATTGCATTACTCATTTCACATTCCAAATTCCTGCCCCACGCCGGATCCACAACGCTCTCTCCCTCTTTCCCCCCCGAATCCACGTCGCCCCTCGTCCCTCCTCCGCATCGTTTCTTCATTTCGTCTCCCTGCCATGTCAGGGTGTTGTTTTTTTTTGGGGGGGGGGGGGGATTAGGCTCGGCGCTGATGCTATCTGAGCAGCTTCTCTCGAGAGGCGGAAGTCTTGTAGGGTTTAGATGTTTGACCCGAGGCTCAGAGGTTCCGATTACAGGACGGCACTGCGCTTTGTGCCCTTGAGCAGAGTATCGACCGAGCCTCCCACGCTTCAGTTAACGGCTACTGTTCATACACAAATCAGTGATGTATAAACCGCACAGTTATGGATGTTGCTTTGAATCATTTTTTTTCAGTTTGTTTTCATGCCAAGCAAAGCAGGCGCACTTCTCCAGAGAAACGGCCGGGGCCCTTTTTTTTCTTCGGGACCCCCCGGGGGGGGGGGGGGGGGTGGGGCGACCTTTACCTACTGAACCGGGCCGGCGCGTCAGGCGGCGTCCCGACCAGCGGCGCCCTGCATCCTCTGAGCGCCCGCACGGGAAGGCCTGACAACAAACACGGGCACTCGGTGACCACAGGTGTGCACACGGGCAGGTATGCGCACACATTATGCAAAATGTTTTTTTGCCCCCCCCTGTTTCCTGTCAGGAATGTTTTTAAAAAAAGGCCCCCCCCCCCCCCCTCCCCGCCCCTCGGGGCTTGTGCGTGCGAATCCGTCTGTGGACTCAGCGGCCCCCGTCGCTGCGCCCCCTCCGCTCAGGGCAGCGAGGGAAATGAAGGCTTTAGGAGTTCATTATAAAACAACAGCAGCGGGGGGGCGGCCTCCCTGGGGGGGCCGCGAGCGATCCCCTCTCATCCGCCCATCCTCATCGTTTTCCTTTGCGTCCCTCATCTCAACTCCGGCTTTCTTCTTTTTTGTTTTTTAATACTGCATTCACGTTGAGTAAAGTTAAATATTGATCAGTGCTAATATGACATAAGGAGTTAATATAGTGAGTCAGTAGTCTCGGCCAATGAACTTGTTTGACCTCCCGGCCAGTTATGTATCACCGGACCAAGGTTTCCAAGTTTATTGCCCAAGAGGGGAAATTGATATTGAGGTGGAGGATAGAAAAAGACGTTTATATTGGTAAATCAGTTATTAAATAGACAAAAACGTGTAGCCGCACACTGAAAATCTCCAAAACGTCAACTTGTTCGAATAATAGAAAAATAGCCTTGTTTTTTGCAACAATGTTTTTTTCAGCCAATCCAGAGATGTATTCAAAATAACACAGTTTTAAATGTAATTTTCATCCCCCTGGACAGATGATAATTTTATAGCGGAAGGAAATACCTTCTGTTTAGCTTTATTTTTAGCAATTAACACATTTTCATTTAATATTTTAGTCCATGTCAATAATTAAGTACTCTTCTAATGTAAATACAAAAATACTAAAAAGTAGCTGTCAAACTATTTTAGCTACATCATGTTTGTTCTCAAGAGAGAAGAGAAGCCGAAGTCCTTCTTATGAACTCTCGCGTGGCTCAAATGGACATTTGGCTCATCTCATAGTTTTGTCCGTTTTTTCCTTTCACAAAATTAGCTGCTTTTTCCCCCAAAAGCATTCAGCGTACTCATCTGCTGCAACAATATAATAAACTGTACATCCATTATAGACATTCTTAAACTCATTAAACCTGGGGGGGGGGACACAAAAAGCATAGTCATTTTGAAATTGTCCTATAATTGACTCGTGGTATTCGGTTGATGTTCTAATAAGGAATAATAATGTGTAATCACAGTAATTAGAGAGCAACATCAAACGGCCCTGAATACCTCGCACAATGGCCCTCTGTGCGCTGAGTGGAAAGTTATGATTCACGGTTATTGGCGGCGGCGTCGTCGTTACGTTCTACCGGTGGATCGGGTGGGGGACGGAGGGGACGGAGGGGACGGAGGGGACGGAGGCTGCGGTGTTCAGGCTGCAGGTGTTTTTGCTGCTGCGTGTGTGTGTGTGTCTGCGTGTGTGTGGTTGTGTGGTTGTGGCCGACTGCCTGCGTCAACCGATCGAGAGGCACAATTCATGTCCATTTATCAGTCTTGTTTATTTTAAATAAAAGTGTGATGCAGCCAGGTTTTCTTTTTGTGGTGATATGCATCACCACATTCAAACACCCAGAATCTCTTGAAACAAAGGACATAACTCAGCACAGCTCATAAATCTGATATTTGGCCAAAGGATGAAGTGAGGTAGAACATCACGATCCCACACTGTCTCACGCCTGCAGCCCCGGCGTGTTATATTTATACCACATTTACAGTTCACAATCGATCACACGAAACACACACACACACACACACCGGCCCGATGGAACAAGGCCTTCGGGGGGAGACGTGCACTTTCGACCCGCGCACGTGGACGCACGTGAGTGGTCCTGGACGTAAGGATAAGTGAGTAAACAAGGGCAGTTTTCTTTGATTAGCAATTTGTGGAAAGCGAGGAGCACGATTAGTCCACTTCAAAGGCATTTACAACAAAGATGTGGCTGAATTACACTTAAAAGACCAAATAGTTCAGCCAGCCATTTAAAAACTTGAAAGTACAGTGCGTGCTCGGGTAGAAGAAATAAAAGAGCAGGGGTGTGTGTTCAGAAATTAAGTGTTTATCGTTCTCCCCCCCCCCCCCCTCACTATCACCGCGGGCATTTCCCTTTGTTCTTGTGAGCGCGCATTAGGCTCCATGTGGAGATTTTCATACACATTTCCATAAGAGCAACCGAAACCCGGCTCGTGTCTTTGCACAACAGCCCTGTTAATGTATCCTCTGCAGCTCAGCGGCTCCAAGCTCTCTTCTGTTGACACATTTATTTAGAACTCCGCATTCTCTTTTTCTATATGATTAATTATAAACTTTGCATGTAGCAAGAGCAACTTACAATAAGTGCTTTTCTTAAATCAGAGAAGAATCCCTAAATGTCTCCACAGCAGACAGAAGGACAGACAGGTGGATTCCTTTTAAGGCCATTTTAGCCTCAGTGGCAATAACAAGAAGGTTAAAGTATAAAGCAGCAGTACAACAGACACAATGACCGATACAATAAATAGTCACGTGGAGGGGGGGCCCAGAGCAACAGAGCTCCCCTGCAGGTGGGGGGTCCAGTCCGGTCCGGTAACCTCTTTTAAGAGCTCATTTCTCCCCGGCCCACAGGAGCGGCGTTCCAGTGCATCCAGCAGGATTCAAGCAGGGCACATCCTCACCCACAGTGAGCATCGCGGCGGGATGACGATCGAGCAGATAACCAGCAGTGTTATGATTTGACATGTCGCTCCTCCACCATCGGCGTGCAGGCGAGGGTGGCGCTCTGCGGAGAGGGCGTTCACCCGACAAGAGTCTCCTTCTCCCCCGTCGTCCCGCTATGCGTTCTTGCAGGTGTACACCTCCTCCTCCCTCACGCACGTCTGGCACTCCACGTGGCAGCACCAGCGCACCTGGCAGTGGCAGGACAGGCTGGTGAGGCGCATGGCCGTGTTGTAGCCGCGCCCGCAGCACAGGCTCTGGCAGCTGGTGTCTTTGGCGCACGATCGGCCGCCCGTGCCCGGGGAGTAGCGCGACGGCCTGCAGAAGCTGGGGGAGTCCTCCAGGTGGACCAGGTCGGTGGTGCGGGGGCCCTGGCCGTGGCGCCGCCCGCCGGCGAGCTCCGTCTCGCCGGTGGCCGCGTTGGTGACGCTCAGCGCGCGCACGGCGGCGTCGTGGCGGTACTTCAGCAGCCGCCCGGTGTCGTGGAAGGGAGACAGCTGCTTCCAGCAGGTCCGCACGGCGCAGGAGCCGGAGACGCCGTGGCACTTGCAGGTTGTCTTCAGGCCGCTCTTCACCGCCTGAGATGGGGGGGGGGAGAGGTGGGGGAGCGGGGAGGAGGGAGGGGGGGGGGGTTGACAAGAGGTGTCAGTTCTCTCAGTTTGATTCATTACCCGGCCTCTTATCTGGGAGATCTATCTGGACGGACTGAGACAGTTTCCTGAGGTTAGGGGTGGTGGTCCGCGGGTGGTGGGCCCGGGCCCTTAGCCCACCTCAGTCAACAATTTTGACATAATGGATTGAGGTGGGACGGTTCAGAATGTCGTATTTCATTTACCAGACATTTCTCACTTGGACAGCTCTGGCAAATTTCGTTTCCCCCCCCTCTTCTCAATGTGTTGGAACTGGCTCTGTCTGCTTCTCCCCTGCCTCTCCTTCCTCAGGCCCGAGGCGGAGGTGACAAACGGTGCAGACAGTGGAATCTCTCCACCCTGTTCTTTGTACATGCCTGCTCACGGAAAACATGGATAAGAATTCCTGTGCACCGAGTGCCAAAAAAACTAAACGCGGCGGCGATTTTGCAACGGCAGCACCTGATTTTAGGGTTAATAGTTCACTGAGCCTGATGGTCAGCGACGAGGGCGCCATCACTCAGCCTGAGAGCCGCTGTCCCGGCGGGGGCCAGAGACAGGTCACACGCAGGGAGCCAGAGGCTACTCCCGAGTCGAGGAGCTCGGTTCCTCCCTTTGCAGGTATGGACCCCTCGGGCGCTGCAGAGCCCCCATTACTGAGGGACGAGGGGGGCCGGCGACCACTTGAGGTTTTTGTTAACGCGGCTTGCGCTCCCCTCTCGGCCACATTAAGCGAGGGAAACATTCAACTCGGTCAAGATGAGATTAGATTGCTTCCCTGGCTTCTTCCTGTTTGCTTCTTTTTGTCTCTACCGAAGGTGTGAGCTGCAGCAGTCGGACCCCGGGGGCCCATTTCAGAGCTGCACAAAGGTGCTTATGAACATGAGGGGGATTTATGAGCAGCGAGTGGAAAAAAAAAAAAAACATACATATTAAAAAAGGGGCCGCGGTTATAATCGTTCTCTCCGACGTGAGGCCTTTAATTTAGCGAAGGCCCGCACAGCAAGCTTTATCATGTCTGGGAACACCTGGCTCCAGCGATCCCACACCGCCTCGTCTCCCCGCTACGCCGCCTCGCACGCCGCCTCGCACGCCGCCTCGCACGCCGCCTCGCACGCCGCCTCGCACGCCGCCTCTTCGTTATCCACCAAGGACAACGGCGGCAGCGAATAAGGGGGCGTTTGTCTGGCTGTCACTGGGAAAACCAGGCGAGTGTGTAGCCCCGGATGGGCATGTAATTATTGCGTGAAGACGCCGTGTCGCTCGCGTGCAGTCGAAGGGTCGAGGGGCGCTTGTGTGGCTCGAGCAACATTTGATGAGATGTTTCTGCTCCGCACCTTTCGGGCCTTCCTTTGTTCGCACTCACCCGAATTCCGACGTTGATGTTGTGGGCGTCGACTCGTGCCCTCAGGTCCTTGCTGACCTTCTTTTGGCCGAGGAACTTCTTGAGGAACTTGGTGCTGTATTTCAGGTTGTCGCCGCAGACCCCCCACTGCCACGCCTCTCGATGCTGGATGCCGGGGGAGTCGTCGCACGTGCACCTCTCCATTCGGCCCGAGCTGCACGCTTTGGCGAGGGCATGGGTCAACGCCGCGGAGGACACCGCCAGCAGGAAGGCCGTCTCCTTGAACGCTGGGACGGATGTGAAAGACACGCGTGTAAACAAATTTGAAATAGACATTTTTACAGAGCCTGAGACGCATTTGAGGGCGGACTGTGAGGTTAAGACATTAATTCGTAGCTTATCATCCCGATGTCTTTTGTGCCAGTGAGGAACCCTTCGAGCCAAAACGTCTACGCAGAGCTCACTACGTCGTCGTGGATCACTACAACCTCAGTATTATTCCGCTGGTTTTCTTGTGTCACAATTCCTCTTCTGACCTTTTTCTCTTGGTTAGGCACTGTTATTTGCTTCCCCCCGGAGTCGTCACAAGGGTATATTTTGATCCAATTAATTGTTATTTTGACTAGGAAGGATTTTCCCAGATGAAAGTGTGTAATCGTGCCACCCTTTTCCTCTGGGAATGGGCGCTTTCCCGAGATAAAAATAACCACAGGGCCTGAGCACACTCCACCGCACCACAGCTCTTGGCGTTCTACTCCCTCATTACCTCCATGCTGACCTGTTCATGTTTTCCCCCACACTGATATCCATATGCATGAAGCATTTTCTGTGCACAGCAGACCTGCACAGGACTTGAGCGTTATCCAATATGGTGATTTATTATATCTTTTTTTTTAAATCAATGTTTGTATGAGGTCATTGATACCGTATGAAAGTACACAATATTCTAGAAAGAAAATGCTTTTTGTGTCGTTGTGTCAGGGGACTGTGCAGACCTTCTCAAGTAAAACAGAATAAATAACAGAGGATTTAGTCAGCAAACACCACAAATGCCTCGGCCCTGCAGTTATATGCAAGAATGACTTTAAATAAGTAATAACTACAAGATTATAAGCAATCTCTCCAGATGCAGCACGACCAAATACAGTTTGAGTTGTTCAAACTGTATTTGTAGAATAAGTAATGCGACTTGTGGATAAAGTGTGTGACAATGTGATACCAACAAAACAAACGAAAACATTTTTGCGATTGATGGTTTGTTTTCCTTTGATGGCATGTGTGGACATGTGGCCTATTTGCATCGCGCTAATACTGAAAAAGTAGGAATAGGTTATTACAGACGGACCTCAGTCATGCTTCACACGCGCCCACAGTCATGGCCCCAAACTGGAGAGAAAACGTTGGCTGGTCCTTTTTTTCTCTCTCTACTTTGTTGTCGCAAATAATAATAATAATAATAATAATGAAATAAATGTGGCCCCGAGCGTCTTAACACACGCAGCCAAATGTTGCAGACGGAGACGCGTCCGACGCGCCGCACGTCAAATCAAAGCGGATGATGAGATTAACAGAAAAAGTAGTGCAGCTCTGCACTTCTCTTATATGAGGCCACGTGCGGATAAAACCCAAATAAAGATAAAAGGCATAAACCCGCGACTGGACCGTCGGGCGGACGGAGGCCCCCCGGCTCACCTCTTTTCAGGAGGCTCCCCCGGCCGTCCAGGCTGCAGTTCCAGCGCTCGTTCCTGAACTGATAGCGGCACTCCAGCAGGCTGAGGCGCACCGAGTCCCGCAGCGTCTCCGCCAGACCGGGCTCCCGGCGGCACAGCCTCTTCTGCCGGCGGGTCAGAGTCATCTGCTCGCACTGCTTCAGGTGGGCCTTTCCCGTCGGAGCTTCATTTGAAAACGGGCCCGGGAGGAACACGAAGGGCTCCCGACCTGTCAGTCTTGGAGTGGAAAGGCAACAGCAAAAAAAAGGAAGAAAAAAAGAAATACGCATAAGGAATTGTAAATGATCCGTTGATTTGTTTTTCTTAATTTATATATATTTAATTCATATTTGACTTCGTGAAAAGAAGTGACTTTAATTTACGCAGTTTACTCAGTCCTGTCCATTCAAACTATTATTTTAGTAAATTAAAGCAGTGTATTTTGTTATTGTTTAAATGTAGTTTTGGTGGCTGATGATGATGATGTTATACCCGTTTGCGGACAGGATAAAGTGCAGTTTAACAAACCCAGAAAAACAAACGCGCATAAAGTCACATGATAACGACGCATTTGTTTGACATGCATTTTATATCAACACCGATGATGACTATTGTTTATTACAACAGATTAGAACCACGTTATGCACAATTCTCGCGGATTCGAGCAACGCAAAGGCAACATACCTCTGCTTTGCGCAATAATACGCGTGCGTAATTTGGCGAAAGTTTGTAAACGATGGTCGCGTTGATGCCCTTCAAAACGGGTTAATTTAAATCTACAAAGTCAATTGATGGGCAAAGTATAAAACGTGAAATCTGCTGACCCGAAATAAGCTGCAGTGTTCGACAGCAGGATGCAGAGCGCGGCGAGTCGCAGTAGGCAGGCGGTCCGTGGGAGCCTGGAGCGCATGGTGCCGGGTTGGCGCTGCTCTTCATCTCGCTGATTCCTCAACGGAGAAAGTCAGTGCCGTCTGCTCGGCGCATCTGTTTAAGCGACCCCACAGACTCTGGTGCATCGGGCCCAGCGGAGCCCCGGGAGGCAGGGCCTTTTTTGGTGGTGGGGGGGAGTTATTGCTGCACCCTCATTGGATTGCCTCAATATTGTTACTGTATGATCCCGCCCACTGTAACTAACGCCACCCAGGTGGAAGAAGCTGCGACGTGACTGCGTTTACCTGCTGGGATGAGGAGAAGTCGAGTACGGCGTGCGCTCGTATATCTGATGCCAAACCAGGTTACGCACTGGAAGCACAACCTCAGATCGCCGCACCTGACGTGACGTTTCCCCCCACGAGGACAGCACACCTGCACGCGTCTTTGACCATGGAGAAATTTAAAAAAAAAACTGCCTCCCCAATTGTATACATGTGAGCTAATGCATTATAATCAGTGTAAACCGTCGGTTTTATGGAAGCACATCCAAGAGAAGAAGTAAAATAATTCACAAAGCTAAAGAGAGAGTTGAGGACAAGAGCATATGGAACTATGTTATTAAAGGACATGTGTCCTGTACGTTGCATAAACTTCCAACCGTGGATGGAGCCCCATCTAGTGGATTCTAGTGGATATTTTTATACATATATAAAAAAATAAAGATTAGGAAATTAAGCAGGTGTTTTTTGTTGATTTATGAATTCATTTGGGCGTTAAAATGTCAAAATATATTTTTGTATTTCTGTTTGTGACGTTTGGTGAAGGCAAAAATATTTTTTTATCCCCTCTCCTCCTCACCGGTGGTTGTTTTTATGATGGATACAACATTGGGAACACACCATAAACACATTTTAAATGTAATCAAAGGCTAATTCCTAAACGATTTGTTGGTTTAATTAAAGAGGTCTACAGAAAGCCCCCTGCCTCGATTTACCGATTATTCAAAGGTAGTTTGCCAAGAAGTTCGGAGATTACTTTATTTCTCACTATGTAACTGCCGATGCAAACGGGTATTGATGCATTTCCCAACGTGCGCGTTCGTGATCCCGATCCTCCACCGACAGGAACAAGAGGCCGATGACACCGGAAAAAAGCCGCAATACAGTCGCTCGGGACCCGGAAGTAAGGCGGACTGAGGCTCCTGAGAAGGTACAACTTTTATTTGTCAACGTGAGACATTAGTGCGTCGTAGATATTCTCTTTGTGAATTCAAATAAAACGTGGAGATAAACTAGTCCGCTAGTTTCCTGTAAATCGCGGAAGTTTGAGGCCGCGATACTTTGGCGTTAAAGTTTCGCCCAGGAAGTTCTTTTTTTTTCTATTAGACATTTCATCCCTAAATTAATTTATCGGTCCGTGTCGTCTTTGTTGGCTACGTGGCGGAATTAGATATAACGTTAAGAGTTGTTAACGTTAGTCTATAATTCAACGTAGTTTAAAAAGAACCGTTTCCAACGTTTTTAACGTTAACACCGCTTTGAGTTTTTGAGTGAGTGACAGGTCACCAACGGCCCGGTAGCTAATGCTAATGCTAACGTAACGTAACGTTACTGTTTGATATCAGTTAAAATTATGAAGTAATGTATTAATGTATCGGTCCGTGTCGACTTTGTGATGCGACGTGACGGAGTTTCCTCTCCGAGTTGTTGACGTTGAGTTATAGTTTAACCTCCCTTCGTGAAAGCTAGCTAACCGTTTTTAACTGTGACCGCTCATTAACGGCAGGTAGCCACGTCACGTGTCCAGCTGACGTAGCAGACTGACGCAACGTCACTGTCGGATACCAGTTAAAAGACCCTCTAAAAGTCACGTTTAGAACCCGCGATGACACTCTGTAAAGTATCTCAATGCGACACCACGAACCTGACATTCCTGTTTGCTCACAGGAGCAGCCATTAAACACAGAACCGTCTAAGGAGCTAAATTCCCCCTCGATGAATCACATAAAGACGTTTGTTAGGGTTTGAACAGCACACAATGTCATCATCGTGTGGCTAAATTACATCTTATACAGAGGTTTGGTCAAACTTCGGTCCAAATTTATTAATTTCATTAGTCAGTTCGTGGTTCAATAAAAGGTGAAGGCTGTGAGGCCGAACTTAGCATGCATCTGGTGTGTTGACTTATTCATTTATTACTATTTCATTACTCATATTAGGCTCAAAAGCTTGAAGTGGCGGACTTCAACTGTTCATCCTCAACTCTGGACATGATGAGCTCAGGAATCTAGACTAAGCACATGCGTTTAGGGACACCACGCCAAGACTGTAAATGTGTCCTAATCTTGACCTCCTTCAGTATATTGCCCGTGTCTTCACATGTGAACTTTGTTTACTGCAATTACATATGTGTTATGAAGCGGAAGAGTGCAGTGAAAATAAGCACCAGATCAGTAAGAGGAATCTGAAACCGCCACAATATACAATCAGGTGGTTCAGGACTCTGAATAGAAACCGGATTTTACAGCACTTTCCATGAACTTCTGGAATGTAGTTATTACCCATTTGGTTGATATTTTCTTTTGTAAAGAAATACTGATGAGTTTATGACATGTATTTTTTTCCATTTAGTTCAATTTTATTGGTGATAAGGCCGACATCTCTACGGCTGATAACTCCAATACTACACAACTTGCACCAGAACCATCTAGATTCATAAATAGCCTACAGGTAAGAGGTATTGCTGATTTGTATTTGGTAACAGGGCCCTTCAATTTAGCCTTGTTGAACTTTGGAAAAGCCCTGGAGATGAAATTTATACTGTTTTTGGACAGTATCTGATGTAATGTACAATTGTTGATATTTTTTTTTACTTTTCTTTCTATGACAATCTTTCGACCAAATAATTTCAGACTTTTTTTTCCATGACAGTGTTCAACCTGATATATTATGATTTTTTCTCCTGACATTGTTCGACATAATTTATTTGAACCTTTTTTTTAAACATTTTTTCAATTTTACATATTTAGACTTTTTTCCCCATCTTTTTCAACCAAATCTTTTTCGACCATTTTTGGACCTAATATATTTTTTTTTGTTCCATGACATTTTTGGACCTAACGTATTTTTACTTAAAAAAAACAAAAACAATTTTTTTTAAAACATTTTTGGGCCTAATTTTTTTCCTGTTTTTTTCCATGGCTGTTTCTGACCTAACATATTTTGACTTTCTTTCTCAAAATATTTTAGACCTAATATTTTTTTTTAGCTTATGTAAAATGTCCCTCATCCTCTCCGTGTCTACAGGTGGAGCGTGAACACTTAAGGGATTAATGATCCCTCTTTCCTGCGTCACTGAGCGCTATCCATATTTTCCCCTGACCCCACAATATTGATTTTTCCTTCTGCAGGTGAAGATGGGTGCTTTGTCCAGCGCTCTTAAGGGCCTGTTTGGCAAGAAAGAAATGAGGATCCTGATGGTCGGACTTGATGCTGCTGGAAAGACCACCATCCTGTACAAGCTCAAACTGGGAGAAATTGTTACCACGATCCCGACCATCGGTGAGCCCTCCCGTCCTCCTCTTCGTCCTTGCACCGCACGCTCTCCTCTTTGTTCCGACCATCCAACATCTCTTGTTTTTCCTCCTCCATCCGCAGGATTCAACGTGGAGACGGTAACCTACAAGAACATCAGTTTTACGGTGTGGGATGTTGGTGGTCAGGACAAGATCAGGCCCCTCTGGAGGCATTACTTTCAAAACACAGAAGGTGAGAGACTTCCGTCTGTCTGACACGCCCACTGTTGGAGATCTTTTAATCCACTTCCCCCATATAAACCTCTATTGTTTCCCCTCCGTCAGGCATTATCTTTGTGGTGGACAGTAACGACCGGGAGCGGGTCGGAGAGGCCAAAGAGGAGCTGATGCGAATGCTGGCTGAGGACGAGCTGAATCAGGCTGCGCTGCTCGTGTTGGCCAACAAACAGGTGGATTTGAGTCAATGTTCTTCTTCTTCATAAATACAATCCTCTGCATCCGCTACCCATCAGCCATTTATCTGTAACCAGGGGATTGACCCACGGCCCTTTGATAGGTGAGCTCAGAGGAGCACAGCTTGCAGACACAGTGGTGGAATAAAGGTTAAAGGAGTGGGCTTGTAGACTGGAAGCTTCTATCCCCAGACAGGCAGGAGCAGCACCGTCCTCGATTCGTTGGATTTGGTCAGATATCACCGATATCCCAGGCTGATCATGTGATCTGTGGCGGTGTCGTTGTTAATTGAGCGTTGTGTCTTCTTGCTCCTCCAGGACCTGCCCAACGCCATGGATGCAGCCGAGGTCACAGACAAGCTGGGCCTACAAACCCTGCGTAAGCGCGACTGGTACATCCAGGCCACGTGCGCCACCGGAGGAGACGGTCTGTACGAGGGCCTCGATTGGCTCTCCTCCAAGCTCAAAAAAGGAAAATGATGTTCCTGCCACCTCTGTGTGCAGTGTGACGGCGGACTGTACCGGCCCGGGTCTCATTCTCTCCTTTGCTCTCTTTCCCCTGAAGCCTCGGACCTCTTGGCCGGTGCTCCCCAGCATCTGTGCTCTGTAGGGGAGTTTTTTTTTAACTCTCATGCACCTCATTCCTCCCATGTGGGCTCATCCAAAAGCGCTGGTCTCCACAAAGGAACGTCCTGTGTAGTTCAGTTTTTACACCTGCTGGAGACCAGATCAGTTCACATTCTCTAAAATGAGGCTTTTTGTCGCACTAAAGTTTGGGCACTTGCACTGGCTACTTTATACTTTTATACCTTTCCCCATTTATTCAATTATTTCTGCAGCTTTTTAATTAAGTTCAAGTTCTGCCTCTTCTAAAAACCGGATACTTTTCTCAAGGTGGCTTTGTCTCAAAGGTCCACTAAGCCTGGTGTGGAGCAGGCGATAGAATGTGCATGTTTACATGAAGGGAGGTGTGCAGAGGTGTGTCGTCGTGGTGCTGTGAGGGTTTCAGCTTTGTTTTTTATTTACTGGTTGTCTGATTTTCTAGGAAATGTAGTTTTTTGGTTCTGATTTCCTTGTGTTTTTATATGTTACTGCTGATCTCGGCGCCTGGTTTACGTTGCCGCGAGGTCGCAGACTCCAGTGTTTTCTAAAAGACGCGCTTGTTGTTCCCCACGTTGTGGTGAGCGTTCTGTATGAATCAGCACTGTAAATGCTTCAATGTGTTTCGCTCGCTGTAGAGTTATTTATATTATGCCCCCCCCCATGCTGTTTGCACAATCTCGTCAACTTGCACAACGCGACGGGCAGATGTCGTCCATCTTCCCTTGTTAAGCTCATTGTTTAGCATCTTTCATGTCTTTTCATTAGAATAGGGAATAATTCATTCACAGATTCAGAATGCCTCACAGATAATCCTTTAAAGTCTTCTATACCTCGCCAAAGTAAAGTACACATAAAAAAAACGATGGCAATGAATTTGGGGGTCAATAGATTTTGAATTTAGGTACTTGGTCACAGTGCAGATATACCATAGCGCCGATTATTATAACCGTGGAGTGGAATATCAAATATTTGTAATATTTTAAACCGTATAACATTTGTGGGTGTGGTTTCAAATGTCTTATTGTTGTTTGTTTCCAACATTATCAAAGATGTGATAGATGCCCTCTTTTCCTGCTCAGTGAAACTGCTAAAACATCACAAAGGATGCGAACCGACATCCGACCTCAGGGGCTATTTCATCGGCCCGTGTGATGCAGGTTCACAAAAACGTGTTTCCAATAAGACCTCTGTTTTGCTTTAGTTCTGATCTCCTTGCAATTGATTAATAAATCAATAAATCCACTCACATTGCAGGTTTTTTTTGATGGGAGAATATTATCATCTACACCTTAAAAAGTCTAGTATTCCAATCCCTCATCCTCTCAATCCTAGTTAAATCCATCTCAACATTCTCTGTGATAACAGAGAGAACGTTGCTTCTCTGTATAGTCGTATTCATCTCACAGATGTTAAGTTACAGACGTCACCTGTGAGCACTACAAATAAACAAAGCTTGAACTTCTTCACTCAAGCCACTTGGCTCCCCAAGACGTAAGAATAGCAGATCAAAAATGTCTAAAGCAATTAGATACATTAACTAAATGCACAAATCTGATGTTAACTTGCATTTCCTGAGTGTAACCACTGGAGGGCTGCAAACACTGATGGTTCAAGATAAATGAAGAGAGGTGTAGCAGACTTTCAAAATAAAGCAACCAAAACAAGAAAAGCAATTCATGTAGTGCTATTTTATTTATTGTAATAGTGCACCACCACATCTGCCTTTACGCATGTATGCACATCTTTGAATAGTAGACTGATCTCCACACCAGGAACGCTAATGGCCGTCATTTCAAGAAAGGTCTCTCTCTCTCTCTCTCTCCCTGCCTCCCCCTCCCACGGGTGTAAGGTAGTGCTGGTAGGAAGACGTCTTGTGCTAATGAGGACTGATAGTCTCTGAGGGCCACAGCGCAGGAAAGAGCCGGACGGACGGAGGCGCAGTGAAGAGCCTGCAGACCGCTGGTCGCCCTCCTTTTCCTCTCCGTCTGGATTTCAGGTGGCCAATTCTCCATAGAGTTGTTACCTTGGAAACAGCACCTCACGTATTCGTAGGGAGCAACCTAGTAGTCATGGAGAGGGGAGAGCGGGAGACGAGGCTGAGGTACAGGTGATGCTCGTCCTTCGTCTGGCTCGGGGCACACACACACACACACACATACACAGACACACACACAGTGGGGACACAGCCATACTTTTATTTTGTTAAGTCTCTTGGATTGAACAGAGGTAATCTCGTATCACATCCCTGCAGAGAAATCCTCCCCCACCCTGCTGCAGCCACCCGCCGCCCTTTATATTGGAATTACAAGATGCTCCGGGACCTGATCTGGTCATATTTTTATTTAAAAGGTCCTGCTTTCAGCTGGGGACCTTCCATATATTCACCGTCACATCCCTCCTGCTCTAATCTACCAAGTCTCTCACGCCCTCTGACTATCAAATGAAGCTGAAATAATTCTAATAGGATATGTGGAAACACACTCTCCTCCCCGCACACGCACACACACACACACACACACACACACACACACACACTTACACTTGACCTCTGCTTGGCTCTCTCTGCTTTCCGCTAAATCTCACCTTGATGTGTGACTTCACAGCACATCGACCCTTCGCTCACCCCAGCATAATGTCAACTTTTCAGCACTAAAGTTGTCACTATTTCTCCACATTGTCCCTCGGGGGAAAGTCCTGAAGTACATTTAATCATGCCTGTACTTTAGTGCAGTTTTGAGGTTGAGTATTTCCATTTTACGCTACTACTACTTTACATTTACTCCCTGCTACATTTATTTGACAGCCATTAACTGCTTTTCAGTTTAAGGGGATACACCAAAGGTCAATGAGGTAAAAACTAATTGATGTCACCGTGAAACATCCCCGGTTATTTACATGAAAGCTAATATTCATTTTGTTGGAGAAGTTGTTAATAATTCAGGATAGAGCCGTTGAAGCTCATGAAAATAAACCATTGTTGTGGTCTTAGGACTCCAGCTTTACTTTTAGTGGAATTCTATTAAATAATTGTAATGCCGCTTTTAAGTAAGTGTGCTTCCTCCACCATCAATGACCCCCGTCCCAGGGGAGCGGGGGCGCTGCACCATTGCTTGTCGTCGATCAGCCGCTGCAATGATCCACCCGGGGAGATCGATCAAAGGGACATTGGTAATGACTTGTAACAGGTGGGAGGGAGCAGACAAAGAAGTAGTCCATCGGCCGTGATCAGCATCACAATTCTCACTTGTGAATGTTGAGTGCGTTCCACGAGTGTTAATGTGAACATGTCGTCCTGTTCGCTGCAGTGATTGGGTCAGACGGCGTGGGCGGATGTGTTCTTTTCACTGCACCACGTTTTGTTTGAGCTCGATGCATGCGCGCGTGTAACATTAGTGGTCGGTTGTATTTCTTGGCCCGCAGAAGTCACAGAAGGCGCTCAGCGGTGCGCCCGTGATCGGCCGGGTGTTTTTATAAATCCTGTCCAACCGCCCACACGCAGCAGAGGAAATACAGAGTTCACCTTCTCCACAAAGGCAGGTCGTTTCCGGCCTTCCACATCGCCATGGAAACACAGGATTTGTCCAGTTGATTGGCAGTGGGGTGAGGGCGAAGCCGAGAAACTCTCATGAATTATAGTCTTGCAGTTAAAGAACGTTGTCAGCAAAAACAACCTAGATCATTAATAAATCATTGCCAACTAAATCCATTGTATTGTTTTTGTTTGAACACTATCAAATGTATTACCACGTAATACAACATGTGAATTTCACTGTATTCCCTCCATCGTCTTTTTGAGGTATTAACGTGTGAACAATATTGATTTGACAGAATTCACACATTAATTAATAGGCTTGGTGGTCCAATCTCTGCCTCCTCTTGTTCCCACGCCAACGTGTTTTTGAGCAACCCCACTGGTATGCCCCCATCAGCATCACCATTAGCAAGAACTTTACTTATATATATAATATTTAGGTACTTATACTTCTTCTTTCTTTCTTCTTTTTTTAAATTTTGATATTTTATACAATTAGCTCGAGACCTTTACATCATTGTCTTGGAAAAATGAAAAACAACAACTCACCTGAACCTTCGGTGCACTCCGTAACGGATATCCAACGCACCCTTTTTAGCGACGCGGTCTACCGGTAGATAGAAACCCCTCGCGCTGTTCAGCTCACGTGCCGACGTCTGTTCCCTCCCCAACTCAGCACACATCGGTAATACGTCATGTTGGCTTCAAAATGAGCAACAAACTCACACTACAAGTTACTCGTGTCCCCAGTTAAGTATTCATAACATTACTTAAAAGGTCGTCTTTGCCAAGGGTGTAACCATGGAACCATGGTTCGGACATTGGGGGGGTCCGCCGGACGCTGCGGCCCCGCTGAGCGGAGCGAGCGGCCACTCAGAGAGTCCCGGTGAGTTTCGCTTAACAAACGGTTCATAAAAGGAAGGAAACATATATATTTGCATATTTTCTGCTGTATATTGGGGGGGACATTTTCTCAAAATTGGGGGACACACGACCCCCCCCCCTAAAGGATGGTGGTTCCGCCCTTGGTCTGCGCGCGTGCCGTGTGGCTAACATCACCCAGCTAACACGTTAGCTAGCTAGCTACTTTAAGTTAGTTTATGTTAAGTTATCTTAATTAATGAATTTGACGTACTGTGCTTGTTTTTAATGAAGTAAAAGTACATTATTACAAGTTAGAGTACCCCACGTTTAAAACCTTACTTGGTTTTCTTTAGCAAATTGTGGTAATCAAAAGTTGCTCATAATGCCTACATTGCTATATATTAACTACATTATTCTACATCATTCAATGATGTTTTCTGATGTATTAACTTGAAGGCATAATTTTAAACGTTTAAATGCTGTTGTTTGCCGGGTGGAGTAATGTCCAATCATTTCATAATTCATAATCCAATCAGTTATAATTAGTAGCTACTAATATATCAGTAACCCCAGTCAATCTGAACCAGCATGTCTCCATATATTCTACTCACTACAAATATCTCATTCCCCACTGGACAAAGAGACCTAATGTTAAGTGCTTTAGTAACAGTAATTCTGCCGGATTTCTGTAAAGTTTAAAATGGCTAAATGATGAATGTTGGACGAATAATTGGGTCACAGTCTTGGTTCACTGTGTGGTGGACATGAAGTGGAGTGACATCCATCATCGTGGACATTTCGCGTTACCTCTTTGTACCCAGTCAATCCTGCATGCCGCTTTAATAGCTCTAATGTCATTGGGTAGTGGTCTGAAGGTCACAGTAAGACATAAGCAACAGTGTGCAGCAGTGCATGCACATGCAGCCTCGCTACGAGGGGACGGTTGATAGATGATTGATGTCTTCCGAAAGTTTCCTTCCCTCCCATACTGTACGGTAAGAACACCTCTGCCAGGTTGTGTTGTCTCACTGCGTCCGAGTCGCGCTGTCGTTGACATTCATCCACACTCCCCTCACCCCCTCCAATAACCTCAGATGGCCGGTTTCCACTGAAGCGAGGGCAGATCTATTGTGCCACAGTGTTTCTGGGTCGATGCGCTCTACGCAGCTGAGATGGAGAGAAAGGAGGAGGACAAACTGGGTTCCTCCGCGTCCTCAGGGACAACCAAACCGTCTCTTTAAACACCGTGAATATGAAACCTGTAGAAGTGATATTTGAAAAAGGACAAAATGGTGTTTAGATGAGCGACCTGATGCATCTGACTGCTATGTGGACAAAGCTGACACTGAAACAGCAGATGTCTCTTTGTGGGGACGCGGTGGCAGAGCATGCTCATCAAGTCCACAGAAGCGTCTCCTATTCAGCCTCAGTACCTCTGCAGCGAGCGGCTTTGTTCTTGGTGAAGCGGGCCATCAGCACTGCACCGCGTGCACTAGGGGTGGGAATCTCTTGGCACCCCACGATTCGATTCCGAGGTCAACGATTCGATTCTAAACCGATTATCGATTCTAAACCGATTATCGATTCTAAACTGATAAAACGATTATCGATGCATCTCGATTTTCAAAATTTTCTCAAATCTGAGTTTGCTACTCAGAGGTTGCTAATCACTTCCTACTTTGCTTGATAATTAAAGAAAATCAACAGATGAATTACCTTCTCTAATTTTTTATAAGAGAAAAAAAAATCTCACAAATATGATTTTCTATCGACAATGCAAGAACCAATGCAGCAACATTTATTTGTAAAATACCGGAAAAAAGTCCAAATCTGTGAATATCTAACTTTCA